CACACAGGCCCCGGCCGTCTAGGGGCCGGCCACACAGGACGCACTGGCGCTGGCAGCACACAGGCCCCGGCCGTCTAGGGGCCGGCCACACAGGACGCACTGGCGCTGGCAGCACACAGGCCCCAGCCGTCTAGGGGCCGGCCACACAGGACGCACTGGCGCTGGCAGCACACAGGCCCCGGCCGTCTAGGCCGTCTAGCCCTCTGCTTCCTGGCACATGCTGAGCTGTTTGTTCCTTGGCAGAAGTGGAAACTTCGCTGCCAAGCTGACTCACCAGGTCAGCGATCGGAACAAAGGCGTCACTTCTGTTCCTTTGCCCTTCACGTGCGCTTGCACAAGGACAACGTACTGCAGAAAGCCCGGTTTCCAGAAATGACTGAGCAGCGAGCAGAGCTTCCCACAAACCTGCCGTGGGGCGGGGCCCGGCTCTGGACACGTGGGCCTAGCACTCCAAAGCAGCAGCTACCTCCCACGGACCAGTCTCTATGGCCAGCAGGCAATACCTGATGTTCCGGTATCTTCCAGAAGGTTGTTCAGCCCCAGGGCCCTAAGGGCCCAGCCACGGGCTCTGGCCTGCCCACAGCCAAGTCCAGGCTACCACAGGCCCATCAAGACCCCATCCACCTCCAAGTGAGCACAGAGGGTCTAGGGCCGCACACCTCAGTGCGTTCTGGCTGCAGCCCACCCCACGGCACTCTAACGGCACACAGGATGTATCTGCAGGAAAGCAAGAAGCACCGCGCGGAGGCAAAGCCTTCTGGGGAGCTACTTAGGGAGGCTGAGGCAGCTTGTGTGAGCAGCTGAGCCTGAAAAAGATCAAAGCAAGGTGGGCACACTCAAGCTTGGGGTCTGTCTACCCAGCAATGGAGGGCTGAAGTCCACCCTGAACCCTTACCAGGACAGACAGAGCTGCTGGCACAGGACTGGGCTCTATTTAGGGTCATTTTGGGAGACTGCACAATATTCTTGCAGCTGCTGCCCAGCCCTGCTATGCTAAGACTTGAGTGGACATTCCCTCTTCTCCCTCCCCCTCCCCAGCCCAGCCCAGGAACAGGCCCTTGTTTGGGAAGAGGGTCTTGAAGGCTGACGCTCTTATACATCTGGAGACAAGCCTTCCTGGATCTAGGTAGGCCCAACCCTGGTGACCATCGTCCCTACGAAGATGGAGAGGAGTCAAAGCCATACAGCCAGAGAGCTGGGCAGCGCAGACTCTCTCCCGGGACCCACACTGTGCGCCACAAGTGTTTCTCAGAGGCCGCACAGGAGCAGGCCCTGCACAGACCTCCCAGCCCCCAGTCCCCGGCAGCTGCCCACATTCCCAGAGCGAACAAACAATAGAGGGCCCCACAGTGCACTAAGGCTGGAGAGCTCCACACACAGGCTGCACAAGGCCAGACTGCCAACTTGGGGGCCCCAGGACTCTGGAACAGAAGGAATGCAAAACACACTCTATCAAGTCCTGAGAGGAGAGATGCGACTGGGCCCAGATTCCAAGGAGTCCCAAATGAGCACAAGTACCAGGGCAATCAGTCATGGTGTTGAACTCTGGGCTTGGGTGCTGTCCCAGTGTTCTTCAGCTCAAGACTAGCGCTCTACCACTTGACCCACAGTGCCACTTCCAGTTTTCTGGTGGTTAAGTAGGGATAAGAGTCTCACGGACTTTCCTGCCCGGGCTGGCTTTGAACCGTGATCCTCAGATCTCAGCCTCCTGAGATCTCAGCCACCTAAGTAGCTAGAATTACAAGCGTGAGGCACCAGCACCGTCCAGGTCACCAAGTTCTTAGGTTCCAGGAAATGCCCTGTCCTCAGTGGGTGGAGTGCCCAAGGAACAGCCAGCTGGCCACTTCTGTCTCCTCCAGACCTTCAGGAGGCGCTCTGGTGGCAGTGGAGTCTCGGCCCCAGCTTCCCACTTCTCTGTTGACCACCATGCTGGCTGGGCCAGCTGTCCCAATCAATACCCATAAGCGTACGGCTGCATTGGATGTACCTGGACCCCCTGACAGCCAGACGAGCCCGTGCCCAGGGATGCAACCCGGGCATCCCAAGTCATCTACACAGCTGGCGTCTCTCCCGTTCTTGGTCAGTCCACCCCTCCCAACCCAACAGCCTGAACAGCACTCACTCTCCTCGTCCACTTGAAGCTCCTCGTGGTTCTTGATGGCACCAGCAACTTCCTTCTCATTGTGGCCTTTGCTTGCCAAAAACTTCACTTTGTATTCATCCCAGGACACACGGCCTGGAAGAGGAGACTGCCCATCAGGGTGTTTAACAAGGAACGACGTGAAAGCAGACAGCTTCGCCAGTCCTGGGCCTCAGCCCTGTCCCTGAGATTCTCTTGCTCAAGGCTAGCACTCTACCACTTGAGCCACAGCACCACTTCTGGCTTTTTCTGTGTACATGGTGCTGAGGAATGGAACCCAGGGCTTCCTGCATGCTAGGCAAACACTTTACCACTTAGCCACCTTCCCAGACCCAAACATCAAACTTCTAATGAGAGCAGATTTTCTTTTTTCTTTCTTTTTTTTTTTTTGTGCCAGTTCTGGGGCTTGAACTCTGGGGCTTCAAACCATGATCCTCAGGTCTCACTTCCTGAGTAGCCAGGGTTCCAAGCATGAGCCAACAGCGCCTGGCTTCTTGGTTTGTTTATGACATGGAACATTCCTATGCAACTCAGGCTAGCCTCATACAGTTGATCCTCCTTCCTCAGCCTCTGAGTACTGGGATTACTATCTTGTGGAGCTACTGTGGTTTTCTCAGTTAAAATACTTGGGTCACGTTTGCTATTTGTTCTATGCCCTACAACTTCAACAAACATTAGCCATTAGCCATGTGAAAACAACTCTGGTTGAATTCAGTCAGTGGGCCTCAGTGCCCTTCCCCACAGCCTGGCCTCCAACTCTGGCCTCCACTTTCTACTTCCATGGCCTGAAGTCTTACCTTCAAGGTCCCACTTGACCAAGTCAGCACACACCGCGGCCCCAGCCACAGCACCTCCTGTGTGGGCCCACTTACCATCACCATCAGGGTCGACAGCTCGGAAGTGCAGCTTGTTTTCCCTGACAGCCTCCTGGAAGTGCTCTGCCGTCTTCTCCATGATCCAGCGCTGCATCTCCTCAGCACTGATCCGCCGGTCAGTGTTCACATCTACTCTGAAGGCAGACACACGGATAAAGACCCTCCACAGACATATGGACACTGCTTGGCCCTAGGAACACCTCTGTCATCAACAGTGGTACGAGGCGCCTGCTGGCCAGGAGGGAACACTGTGTCGGGGCAGGAGCTGCTACTTTGGTGGCAGTGTGTACACTGGTTATCAGGACCAGGTCCACCCTCCAGTCATGGCTTCCAAGGGATTGTACTCTGTTTTATTTTAGTGCTAGGGATTCAACCCAGGGCCTGGCACATGCTAAGCAAGAGATCAGCCACGAAAGCCACATCCCTGGCTTTGGACAACCACACAAGCATATTCTCATCCATGGAGAATTACAGAATTCAGGGCAAAGACCCTGTGTGGACCTCATGTTGTGTCCAATGAAGAAAGAGGAAGAGACCCAAGGCTTTGGGGACAGAGCCACAGGGGCAGATTACACACAAAACGGAGGGGACATCATGAGCTTGCTTCACCTGACTGACAGTCAGACACTCTCCAGGGCCCTCCTGGGGCAGGCCCCTAAGTGGTGCTAGAGCCTGCAGAACCATTCTGTGTCCAGCCCCGTCTGCTGAACCAGCCTCCAGACAGGGTAAGCCCACACACTGCTCCAGAGAGTGCAGACGCGTGGGAGTCTGACTCCTGTCGTCCTGGCTGGGAGGACCCGGGCACAGCGTGGCCGTCCGGCTCTGGCTCTCCAAACCCTACCCACCCAGGGTCCTGGAGGAAGACTTGGGGCTCCCACTAGATCCTCAGCTCACACACTGCACCCCTGAGCAGACACTCGCAGCAACTCCCCCAGCACCTCACTTCCCACACTGGGCGACCAGGCAAGTGGGCAAGCAAACCAAGGTGCCCTTCAGCCAACGCATGGGTCACCTACTTGGAGAAGATGACCATTAGCTTCCTCCGGCTCCTGCGTGGCTCTGCATCTTCATCAAACCCATCCATGTCCTTCCCCAAGAAGACCTCCTGGTGGAAGTCTTTGTTGAGGTGTCCATCCATCTCCAGCTTCACCCCATTCAGGTGGTCCGGAGGCAGGATTTCATTCTCTTCTTTGTTGGCTACTCTCTCCCGAGTGGACGAGTGATTGGCAGGTCGGGCAGACACATCCATCAGAAGGATGAAGCCCAGGAGCCAAAGGCACTGGGCAGCTAGACCACAGAGATGACCCTGCCTGGATGTCATTGCTGCCAGCTAGACCACAGTGGGTGCCTGCAAGGTGTGAGCCAAAAGCTGAAGACAGGCAAGTGGCAGGGAAGGAAGGGAGCTCCCAGCTCAACGTAAGAGCCCCAGCTACCAGAGAGAAGGCTGAAGGCAAACGGTGGGCTTCAGGCCCCAATGAGCAGCTAATGGTCTACAAAAGAGAGAAAGAGACCCATCATTTAGTGGAACGGGGCAAGTACTTCACCAAACGCTCATTTTATAACATGAGACACAAGTCCTCAGCTTATAGACTCAAGACCACACATGGAGTTGGGTATGGTGGCACACGGCTGTGATCCCAGCAACCACAGGGAGAAGCAGGACCGAGAGTCCTCGGCCAGCCTGGGCTACACAGTAAGACCCTGTCTCAAAACCAACGCCACGTGCAATGTCATCCTCCCTACAGCACGGTACACAAGTCTGACTGTCCCCCCAACAGATGCCAACTTGAGCACGGTGACCTTAGCTAAGCCACCTTACCTTCCTGGACTCAGCTTCTCACCAAGAATGAGGACTCCTCCCCTCCCACTGAAGGCTGTGCCAGGACCGGGAGGCCTCAATGCAGGGATGACAGCGGACGGGGG